GGGGGGGAAAGGAGGGGAGAAAAGAGGAGGGAGAAGAATTGTTCTCATTGTTTCCTTACCAGTGGGACAGGAGAGGCACGAGCTCGCCCCAGCAGCCGACTGATAGGACCCCAAGGGACAGGAAGTGCAGGTGCTGGGGGAGGTCCCAGCTGAGAAGGTCCCTGCTGGGCAGGTTTGACACGATGTCAAAGTGTGGGCGGGCTGGGAAATGAATTTCCCAGCTGGGCAGGAAGTGCAGGTGGGGCCAGCAGTAAAGTTTCTGTCCTCCAGGCACTGCGGGTCTACTGTCGCACCCTTGGCGAGCTCCATCCGGGCCCCAGCTGAGCAGTACACCTGGCAAGGATGTCAAAATGGCTTCTCAGCTCGTAGGTGACGTGGAGGGCCGTATCTCACCCTTATCTTCTGCCCGACGGGCGCGAGGCCGCTGGAGGGCAAGACAAGGCCGTTCTGGGGAGCTCGGAAAGGCTCGCAGTAGACGAGGGGAGCTGGGGTTGTAGGTGGGGCCGTCGTCCCGCCGGCAAAGAGGACGGAGGAGGAGAGGAGGGAGGAGGAGAGGACGCCAGGGACGCCGAGGTCAGAGAGCTGGCGGGGGAAGTTGAAGATGAAAGAGGGCTGGTCTACCAACTGAGCAAGCTGCCCCCCAGAGGAGGAGGGGGTGTAGATCCTGACGGCCAGGCTGACGTTCTTTTCCTCCACGCTCCTCCTGCTTGAGAAGAAGATCCCCTCGAAGGCGCAGGAGAGGCGCGCCAGCGCCTCTGCGGTGCACTTTGCAGGGAGGCCTCCCCCAACTGGGATGTCACACCCCCAGCTGGGGTCGTCCATTAGGCACTTGACCGCACAGCAGGTCTTGCTCTCCCTTCCTACCACGTCAGCAGGGGTCAAGCCGACCAGCCCGATCCGCATGAGCACGTAGGTCGTCAGGTCCAGGGCGGGAGGAGCCGCGGCCCCGCCGTCGGGCAGGAGGGAGGCAGGGGACTTGGAAGGGGCGTCGGGGGTGACTTGCCAGTCGCTGCCTTTCTTGGAGAGGGAGATGGCGACGGGGATAGCGATGGCGGCGACGATGAGGGAAAGGACTAGCAAACCCTTGAGGCAGAGGGAGTACCTCTGCAGGCGCGCGATAACCCACGACTCCTTCCCCTCCTCCTGCTCCTCCTCTATGTGCTGGGGACCCTGAAGCTGGGGAGCTACCCTCGCAGGAGACCTGGCTCCACCCCCCCGTGGACTCTTGACGAGCATCTTGACATCTGCGGCGTGTGAGGATTTGGTGGACCCGGCAAGGCAGCTCGCTTCTTACCAGAACTTACGTCCCTGCCCTTCGTCCACGTCGCGTCCTCCTCTTCCTCCTCCTCCCTCTCCTCCTCTTTGAGAAAGAGCTCGGACTTGACAGCCATCATGAACACGTCGTCCCTCCTCCCAGGTGATAACATGTCTACAAGAGACTCTCTGCGCGTCTGGGTTGAAACGTAAGCTCCTCCTCCTCCTCCTGGTGTATCATCTCCACTCGCTCTCCTCCTCCTCCTCCTCCTGGTGTATCATCTCCACTCGCTCTCCTCCTCCTCCTCCTCCTCTCACTGCCTACCGCCTTCTGCCTTGGCATGATCAACCCCTGCTGCCGCTCGAGCTCGGCAGCTCTGATCTGCTTCTGAATCTCCGTCTTGCTGTGAGAGGACGCGTCAGCGACGATGACCGTTGAGGTTTCAAGTTGCAGCCGTGAGACTGACCTCTTCTGATAGTCGTCGATCAGGGCCCCGATGTCATGCTGAATGTTCTCGTTGTTGACGATTTTCCTCTTTGCCATCGACCGAATGTCTGCATGGGAATGCAGCGTCAGCTTGCTGAGGGGGAGGAGGAGGGAGGAGGAGGAGGGAGGGGGTATGCTGAGGAGATGAGGAGAGGGAGGGAGTGGTTCTAAGAAGATGCAGACGAGGAGCGGGAGCAGCAGAGTTAGAGACGTCAGCGCGACATTTCCTCCCTCCTTGATCTCGATCCTCCCCCTCACCTTTGAGCTCCCCGTAAACCTCTATCGTCATCCCTGCTGTGATACGCAGCTTCTTTCCGTCCTGGAAGTGAACGTCGAAGAGCATCGACCGGATCACTTGCTTGCGATCGACCGACGTTGGGTCGACCCAGTCCAGCGACTGCCCTTGAATCTCGGAGACAAGACCTGCCCGGCAAGCGAACTCAGGGTGAGGAGGGAGCAAAGAGGTGGTCGTGTTTGCCGTTGTTGGTCATGTTGATGGAAAGGCAGAGGAGGAGAGGGAAACTGAAGGGAGAGGAGGAGAGGGAGAGCAGGAGAGGGGGAGGAAGAGAGGGAGAGGAGGAGAGAGGGAGGAAGAGGATTTTCATCGACCTGCCATCAGCATGGCGCTTTCTGGGATGCGCTTGATGACCTGAAACGATGTCAGGGCGATGACAAGGGAAGCGAAGTAGAGAAGCAAAAAGTACACGACACGGAAGAGAGCACGGGAGGGGATACAAGTAGAGATGAAGTTTAGCGGAGACGAGGGGAGGGAACGGGGAGTAGAGGGGGAGACGACAGAGGAGGGAGGGGAGGAAGGGGTCTGATGGGGAGAGATGGTCATGAGGAGGAAGAGAGGCAGGGGGAGCTTGAGGTTGTATACCGTCACGTATCCATCGAAGGAGGACAAATACTGCAGGTCAGACTTCTTGATGAAAATCTGCTCGGGAACATCATCACTGAGATTTGCCGTGCTCCTTCTCCCTCCTCCCTCCTCCTCCTCCTCCTCCTCCTCCTCCCTCTTCCTCATCCTTCCCCTTCCACCGCCACCTCCTCTTCTCTGCCCCCCTGCTTCTCCTCCAGCCCGCCTACCACTGGAATATGGATGCTGTATGGTGCCGAGTGCCTCAGCTTGTCCACGAGCTCCTCCTCCCCCAGCAGCACGATGATGAGCGCCTGCGCGTCTCGATGATACGCGAAATCCGCCATGGCCTGCTCCTTGTCAGACCTGCTCCAGCTCGGCACCTGCAAGGCACCTCCATGCTGATCCCGACTTCCTGAAAGCTCCAGAGCAAGACGCAGTCCTTGCAGCTGAAGTCGAGCTGGATGCTGTCGGGATCGTTGAACTGGAACAAGCGGAGAACATCGTCCGGCATGATCCTGAGGGTACCTGCAAGCTGGTTGGGACGCACGCCAAGATGGAAGAAAGAGGAGCAGAGGAGGAGAAGGGAGCGCGTGCAAGAAAAGATAAGAAGAGAGAAGATGAGGCAGAAATGAGAGAGGAGGAAGAACGAGCAGTTTGGAGGATGACAAAAGGTCAACGAAGGGAGGAGAGAGGAGGGTGGAGAGAGGGAGGAGGAGGGAGGGAGGAGGGAGGAGGGAGGAGGGAGGAGGGAGGAGGGAGGGAGGAGGAGGGAGGATCTTCAATGTACAGCAGACTGGCACTGACCTTTGCATTCGACCTGGAAGCCGATCTGACTATACAGACACTTGACATCGTACTCGGAGATGTAGATCGAGCCCTTGAAGGATAGTAAGGGGAGGCAGGCCGAAGGAAAACACGGTCAAGATGCGTGAGAGAGGAGAGAGTGGTGGGAAGGGGAGAGGAAGAGAGAGGGCGGGGGAGGGCGGGGTGGGGGTGGAAGGGGAGACTTGATGGTAGAGGAAGGAAGTTGAGAGGGAGGAGGGGGATGCAGGAGGAAGGAGAGAGCCAGAGTAGGAGGGCAGAGAAGCTGGCACCTCTACTGTATGCTTCTTGATCTTGACGTAGATCTCCTGATCGCCATCCCGCCGCACAAAACTTCTCTGGAAGCGAGCAGCGAGCTCAAACCTGCCGCAGAGGTTAACGGAAGAGATGAAGGAGTGGAGGGGGAAGAGGAAAGGAGAGGAGAACAGCAGCGAGGATGGAGGATGGAGGAAGGGCGAGGAGACAGTAATATAGATTGAAGGCGAATGAGAGGAGGAGTCAATAGCAAGGATGATGGGAAAGAGTAGAGGAGTCAGAAAGCAGGGATGGCGGGAAGAGCAGAGGAGATGGCAGCAAGGACTGAGCTAGCATACAGTCTTACCTGTCGCCATGAGCTGCCCTCTTTCCCGATAGCCAAAGTTCGTAGTTCATCCCAGGCAGGATCTCGAACCAGGTCTCGCACACCGGCGGGCAGATCTGAGGTTGCAGACCGTCCTCCTCCGCCAGGTTTCGTGATGAATACCCGTTGTACACCATGGATGCCGACAGCATGGCTGCGGCGAGAGCGTGTCCTCCTCCCACGCTTCGCCTCCTGCTCAGTCTACCGGCATGTACAGAACAAGTGCGATCCTGTTACCCATGGCGATCAGCATGGCGTATGTGGTACAGCAGTGAGATTGATAGAGATGATTCAGATGATGATGCATGATGATCGTCCGCCATCATGGACGTTGGCTGACTCAATGCATGGGGAAAGATGAAACGAGGGAAGGAAACAGAGAGGGAGAGAGGGAGAGACTGGCAGAGACTGGCAGAGAGGGATGAAGAGCGAGGAAGATATGTGTCATAATTTCAGAGGATGCACCGCGGGCGAGGAAGGAGAGGGGAGAGGGCGAGGAGGGGAGAGGGGAGGGGAGGACGTAGAGAGTAGATTGTACATCTCCTTTCATCATCATCCTTGACAGAACAAGCTGATTGACATCTACTGTTCTCACAATATGTATCTACATCATCTCGTTGGGACCTCTTTGTCAAGAAGCCATCATTTGCTGCACATTCTGCACGTTCTCTGCTGTACGTTCTCTATTTGTTCGACAGCTGCACGTTCTCTATTTGTTCGAAACGTCCGGCGTCAATCAAAATCGAATACGCGACAAATCATCATCAGGAATCAGTTATCCAACTCTCTCAACAATGATGGCAGCAGAGGAGAGTGATAGTCCTTTAGAACGTTCACCCCTCCGCATGCACCTCCATGCCAGGCTACCTCCTCAGTCTCGTCCTTTGACCGCTAGACCTTCAGGCATCTCCTGAACTTTCATCCAGCCTCCTTCCCTCTCTCATAAGTTCCTCCTCCTCCAAATTCCTCGGAGTCCTTCTTTCTCCTCTTCCTTCCAGGCATCCGATGATCTGCAACCTCCTTGGACGCGGCTTTCGACGGTGTCCATTGTGATTTGACAGGTGAGTATCCGCACAGGTATCCGCACAGGTATCCGCACAGGTATCCGCACAGGTATCCGGTAGCGTGTGTTAACTTTCAGTCCCTGAAGTTTTCAAGTACCATCCGATCACAGTCGGAGCCGCTAGTGGGCCGCCCCGGCGGCAGCGGCCAGGCCCCGGGGCTGCGGACTGCCCGCTGGTTCAAGTTCTTGACGAGCTCAGCATCAGTGCCGGACCTGCTGACTGAGTGTCCGGGCCGGGCCGGGACCAAGAGGCTGCCGACTCGGACGGTCGGTGACCGACTCAGTCACGGTCGCGGCCGGGCGGCCCGGCGCGGCCCGGGCCCCGGGACGGCTGGTAGGGGATGAGGGTGGTCGCCTGGTCATCACGGCGGGAGCTGGGGAGGGTTGAGAGGGAGGGATGTAGAGGTCAGAGAAGGAGGAGGAGGAGGAGGAGGAGGAGGAGGAGGAGGAGGAGGAGGAGGAACATAGATCATGCTCCTAGAGGATGATGATAGGTGAGAGACACCTGGTTGGAGAGCGACGATGGCTCGAAGGAGAGCATGCCATTCGGAGAAGACTGACGAGGGCGGGGGACGGCTCTTTCATGGCGAGGAAAGGGAGCGAGCCGCTCAGCGGTATCGTTGAACAGGGAGGAGCTAGAGGGCGAGGAGGAAGAGACGAGCACAGGAAGTGCAGTCATTAGGAGTGATAGCGATCTCATCAGTCTTGCGGAGCGCGAACATGGCGAACTGCTGGTGAGGTGGTAGGGGCACGGTGGCAGGATGGGGTAGCGCGAGAGCGTGTGCAGGGAAAGTTGAAGTTGATCCGTGTCCCTGATGACGAAGTAGCGAGGAGAAATGTCGGAGGTGCGCTCCTCCTATTGGGCGATCCGAGCAAGGGAGGTTGAGGTGGCCAGAAGCATTCTCTAGGAGGAGCGAGGAGCGATGGAGGGAGGGAGCTGATGGTGCCGAGCAGGTCCCTTGAGGATGAGACAACAACGGGTCGCTCCCAACACGAGCTTGGGAGTTATGCACAGCTTCCTTGATGACGTCAGGCAAGTCTCCTCAGTCCCCTCCCCCGTTCCCCCTTAGCTCCCCCTACCCCCCTTCCCAATCTTCCTCCCTCCCTCCCTCCCTCCCTCCCTTTGTCCCTCCCTCCCTACCTTCCTACCTACCTCCCTCTGTCCCTCCCTCCCTCCCTCCCTCCCTCCCTCCCTCCCTCCCTCTCTCTCTCCTTGTCCACTTCGTCTCTGATGCAGGCGGTGCAGGAACATGCGGGCCAACGCCATGGTCATCCTCGGCGTGATCTTCTTTGCCCTGGTGATCGCATATCACTCCGACCGGATCCTTGCGGGGGAGCCCAAAGGCAGGGGAAGGGGCCAAACCAAGGTCCACTCGAGCACCGCCGTCCCGGTAGACCTCTGATCCTGTGCTGTGCTAGTTGGTTACGAGTATGCACAAGATGCTGAAGAAGGAGGTTGAGAGAGAGAGCTTGTGACTTGCTGTTGTAAGAGCATGTCTCTTCAGATCAAGGACATCGAGCAGATCACTGCGCACCTGCTCCAGCACCACCAAGGCGTCTCCTCGGCAGCAGAGCAGGCCAAGGCCGCGCTGAAGAAGCAGTCGATAGTGAGGAAGGTGAGGGAGGGAGGGAGGGAGGGAGGGAGGGAGGGAGAGGGGACAAGAGCGCTCACGAGAGTATGTTGTAAAACATTGATGTACTGTTTCTCCTATTGTTGTCTTGTCGTTGCGGTTTCTTATTTTCTCGTTCTGTACTTGTATCGTATCGTTTTCTTGAGTGCGTCTCCTGTTGGCATCTTTTGCCATCTTCTCTTGTTTTACCATCTTGATCTCGGCCAAGACTGTTCTTGCATGAATTGGAACACTTCGACTCTTAGCGTTTGTCTTCCTGTTGTTCTCAGAATTCCCTGGTTAAACTCTCGGATCACTTTTAATTTTTTTTCCTATGGGCAGAGTTTCAAAGCAGCAGCAGTGTTTGTTTTCAGGTCTCTCTCACTCTCTTTGCCCTGCTCTCCCTCTCTTCCTGCTTTTCTCTCGTCCGTCTTTTCGCTCTTCTCCATCTGCTCTGCTCTGCTCACCCCATGGTCCCCACTTATCTCCCCGCCCCTTCTCTCCCCCTCCTCCTCTCCTCTCTTTCCCCTGATCTCCCTCTCCCTCTCCCCCCTCTCTCCTCTCCTCTCCTCTCTCCTAGTGCTCTTCCCGCCCCCTTCCCCCCCCCCTCCTCCTCTCCTCTCCCCTCCCCTTCCCTCCTCTTCCCTCCCCTTCCCTCCCCTCCCCTCCTCTTCCCTCCCCTCCCCTCCTCTTCTCCTCTGTCCCACTCTTTGAACCTTGCCGGAAAGAAACCCCGGCATCAACCTCCATCTCGCCATCCGCAACGTCGCCAAGAGAGATTATATCAAGGAGATTATCCTCGTGCATGATGCCTCGCACGTACGTTACATCCTCTGCCTCTGCCTCTTCCTCTTCCTCTTCCTCTTCCTCTTCCTCTTCCTCTTCCTCTTCCTCTACCTCATTCTTCTCGTCTTCATTCCTGCATATGTCATCGCGTCCTCGTTCTTCCCCGTCTCTTCCTTTGCTCCGGCTCCGGCTCCTGCTCCTGCTCCTCCTCCTCTTCCTCCTCCTCTGACTTGCATCGAACAAGGACGACTTCAAGGCCTGGGAGGATCGCCCGAAGGAAGTCTACGGCAAGACAGTGCGCTACGTTACCGAGGTGACAATGAAATTTCCCTCCCGCACAAGAGCACCTCTCCTCCTGCTCGTCCTGCTCCTCCTGCTTCTCTTGCTCCTCCTGCTCCTCCTGCTCCTCCTGCTCCTCCTGCTCCTCCTGCTGCTCCTGCTCATCCTCCTACCCCTCCTCCTCCTACCCCTTCTCCTGCTCCTTGTCATCGTTCTCCTCGTCACCCCTCCTGCTCGCTCTCCTGTTCCCTCTCCTGGTCCTGGTCCTGCTCCTCCTCTTCCTGCTCCTACTCCGACCCCGACTCCTCACCCTTGTTCTTCATCCCGTGTTCACCGTTCATCCTTGTTCCAACTCCTCAGTTTCTGCTGTGCTCACGTCCTAGTCATACAGAAGAAGAATCTCAATCAGCTTCACAAGTACTATGCCTGCTCCAAGTACGCCGACGCAAGGGTCAACACCTGCTACTACCAGGTGGCAATGAAACCCTGCTCTTTGTTCCCTGCTCCCTGCTCTTCCTACCCCCGCTCCCTTCTCTCTGCTCTTCCTACCCCCGCTCCCTTCCGCCTGTCCTTCGTTTCCTATTCCCCGCTCACCGTCCCTCCTTCCTCTCTCTTTCACTTCCCCTTCCACCCTCCCCTCCTTGTTTCTCTGATGGTAGTTCCAGGCTGCCAACCGTGACACTCATGCTTACATGGACACCCTGTGGGCAAGCTTCCTTCGAACTCCGGTGAGAGGAGGAAGAGGAAGAGGAAGAGATGGAGGTGAGGAGCAGGATAGGAGAGGAGCAGGAGCAGGAGCAGGAGCAGGGGCAGGGGCAGGAGCAGGAGCAGGAGGAGAGAGGAGGAGATCTTTGCTTTGGCCTTATCTTCATGCAGGAACTTGTTCACACAGCTGTTGGAGCAACAACTCTCTACAGTGATTTGTTGCTGAGCATTCGGTACGATATATGATGACGATGACAATGATGGTGATGGTGATGGTGATGGTGATGGTGATGGTGATGGTGATGGTGATGGTGGTGATGAACATTTCCGTTGTTTTCGTCTCAACTCATTTTCCTTCCTTCTCTCCTACTCTTTCCATCTACTTCCTTCTTTTCTTCATCTCAACAACTTTCTCGTTTCTGACTTGTTTTTTCAAGGATTGATTCAGCTGGTATTGACGCTGGTTTTGCATACTTGAACAACGTAATTCCCTTGGTTTGAGTTTTCTGCTCCTGACACATCTCTCTTCTCCTCCTCTCCTCCAGCGCCCACACTCTCTCTCCTCCTCCTCCTCCTCCTCTCTCTCTCTCTCTCTCTCTCTCTCTCTCTCTCTCTCTCTCTCTCTCTCTCTCTCTCTCTCTCTCTCTCTCTCTCTCTCTCTCTCTCT